GACAAAGATTTGATACATATTTACATACTACCTACTCTTCCCTCAATCTCCTCCCCAACTCTTCATCTTATAATAAAAAGTTAAAGTTTTATTTTATTAATTTTAATGTTTATATTATTAAGATCATTCAAAGTCATGATCTTAACAACATGTGTCCATTAATTTTTATAACTTTTTTTGTTAATAACTTTTTAACGAATAACGAGCGACGGCTAAAACTTCTTGATAGTCACTCAGGGTCATAAACCTTGACAACATATGTGAAGGTTAAGGTCATTGGGGCTGGGTCCGTTGTTATCAATATTTACCTTTTGAATAAATATATATATATACAATTATATGTATCAATCATACCTAAATGTGTATATATAACACATTGAAACGTTTCTTTCGTAATTTTATTTTACTTACAACTAAATGACTTGCTTTTTTATTCTGTTTAACGTTGAGTTTGAATTGTGCCGCTATATGGAGAGTTTCTCGCGTCGTGAGAAGCGGCAGTAAATCGAATTGTTGAAGCACATAGCGCACTTATTTGCGAAAATTCTCTTTATTTTGTTTAATACCTTTTATGGTGATAGTTCCCTTCGTATCGATCAGTCGTTTGCCCGATATAATTGTCAACAGGATGGTCTTTCCCGCGCCAGAAGGACGATTATCACTGTGACTTTTCCCGATTCAAAGTGCCCCGTTACATAATGTAGGATCATTTTCTTAGTCCTACAGTAAACGTTCTTCTTTAACCATGCGACACAAATGTATGTAGAGCGGATAAATAGGACGATAGATATAAAAGAGAAAGAAAGAATAAGGAGTAGAGAGAGACATGTCTCATATATTTAAGTGATCCCTAGACAATCAATATAATACTATATGTAATATAAACAATAATTTAATATAACAATTTAATATAACTTTTAATTAAATTATGCAACAATTTAGTAAATTCTTAAAAAAAGTTTCAAACGTTTAATTTAATATTTTATTGTGCAATAGTACCTGCAAACGGATCAATTTTTTATAAGTTCTGCAATATATTTCAAAGAACTTACTGATTGACGCAATTAATATTTTTATAAACCTTCAATACAGCTATCAAACAATTAATAATACGGAATAATGTTAAATATTGCGTTGATCAATAATATTGATCTAAAGGCTACTTGAGGAAATGCTACTTTCTAATGTCAAAAGTAGGAAAGTCACGCGGCTGATGATGACCATGTAGATGTTTGTTAAAAACTTGGACTTTGTATTGCGATATCTTTGTTCATGACGCACAAAGAAAAAAAACTAAAAACAGTTTTATCTAATATCAACTTGAACTTAGAATTCGACTGGTTCAGTTGTAAATGAGATACAAAAAGTGAGCCGAGTTCTCGCGTAAATACAGCCATGGGCGTTTCAACTCGCTATTATGTTTCTTTTTCTTGTTTCAATCAAGTGACCAGACGTTATTGTTTTTTGCTAAACTAGTCATTATCTCTTGCTAAACAAGTTTGAAATTTATCGCAAGCAAGAAGGAAAATTCTTCTAGTGCAGCCCAGTTTGGTAATAAAAAACAAATGGATTAAGAACGTAAAAAAATTTCGACTTTCATAGGTAGGGATGACGAAATGAGCTTTGCGATTGAGACAAACCGAGTAACAGAAATTGTTAAATTCGATGCATATTTTCGAACGTCGTGACCTCTTCAATATCAGTAATTTTTCGGATTCCTGCACATGGATCTTGCAGTCGCCGTCCAGTGTCGTTGACGTGTCATTTTTATCGTTCACTTCCTGCATCTTGTCGAATACTTCGTAAAATTAGCCTTTCGCCGTCAATTGATAAATTAAAAAACCGACGTTTATACTGCACGATACGAGATAGCGGA